AGAGACTCTGTGAGTGTCGCGGGACAATCTCCAGTATAGCTCAATGGATCGCTGAGGTGCGCAAACCGTCACACCACGGTAAGGTCCAGTCTCTTCGTGTCACCTGTCAGCTTTTATGCTGACACTTTCTTTCCAGCTTGTCTGAGTCGGTTTTACTCATACTGGTGTATCCATATCTATGGCACTCAACTGTGTTCGCAGTGATCATGAAATCATTGGAAAACATGGTTTTACCAGATTGTCCCGAAGAGACTGAAAGTTACCGTGGTGTGACGGTTTATGAGCCGCCATAACAAAGTGGAGTTTACGTGTGACACTCACACAGCCTCTCATACAATGTTGGTCAGTAGGTGAAGGTTTGTCTGACAGTCTCTCCATGTAGGAGCATGGGATATGGTTAGTGACTTGTTTTTAAAGAAAACTGCGGGCTGCTATGGCTGTATTATGCTTTTGAGCCGAAAGCTTCAGTTGAGGACCCCAATCATCTATGTCCTGTCTATGTCCTCGGTCCTATAGCTTTCTATAACTCACAATACTGTTGTGCTACACTGGCTATCGCGTGTCATCAGATGGGTCAGCTTACTTGCCACATACAGTAGAGCGGCTAAGTGAATATAGGCTACTGCTGGGGATATGAATGAGCAACTGGGTAAACTTAGAGCAGCTCACTGGATGCACAGACAACGTTGCGTGCCCGGTGCGTTTAGATGCTGACCGCACACTTTTTCTGTCCCTTACTAACTTCCGTAACAACTGAAGCCGCTTAGCCACACTGTGGTCCTCACATGCGAGCCAACCTAAAACACAGATAGACTACATCGCCGTTGGCTGTAGGTGGCGTGGGTCAATTACTAACTGTCGGTCGTTGTGGGACATCTGTGTGGATTCGGATCACACAATCAGTGGTCGCTGCATCTTGTTATGCTTCTCAGGGGGCACATTTCATCGTTGGTGTTTTGTTTGCTCTAATTCTTAGTCGATTTTGACTGCTCAGGAATCTGTAACAGCGGTTGTATGAGATCAATCATGTTCGGTCATCATCACGGACTGCACGAATGCATCACCGCCATTCAACCATAATTTATTTTGAAGCACCATTGTGAAGAAAATAAAGGAGAAGGGTGTCACTTGAAGTGGTCTGAGGTCTATTCCACTCCAAAAGCTCATTGGATACACCTTCCAGAAAGTATCGTCCTGCGCGTACACGCTGAAAGTGATGTGTACACCCGATGATCATATTTAACTTCTATTTAATCTGAGGATAATGCTGGTTGTACGAGTAGATCAAGTTCGTCTCCAACGAAGCATTTCATCGCATCTTTAATATTTTGATTGAATAGCTGTACATTTCAATCTTCATTTGATTTTATCACCAGGTCGTCGAAACTGTCCCCCCGCTTCATACAATTCAGTTCCACCGACAGAAGTGTCACGTGATCTGGTCACCTATGAAGATTTGGATTACGGTGACCAGTGAAATTAAACGCTCCTTCTTTTTGTGTGTACATATGTACCTAATGTTTACCAATACACAGCTTCTTTTCATTCCTGTTTGTTTCGAGTGTCATCTGCATGTTTTTGGGTTCTGTGTTATTGAACCTTTGGGCAAGTAACTAATGAAGTTCACTGCGAAATTATCAGGACTATCTTTTTAGTGGTAGTCGGTCCCAACTAAACAGACTGTTCATCTCAGTTTTTGTAGTCATCCTCAGTCCACGGACAGTTGTATATATTGGTCGTTGGCTTGTTCGCTGAGCTGGGCAACTTGGTTGCAAACGTTTCATCACCAATCGAGGTGACATCATCAGTACGTAGTTGTGCGTAGCGGTGGGTTAGTGTGTGTATATATTCTCTGATTGCAGACTGTTATTTCTATTCACAATAAATCCGTCGCCTACTGAAACAGGTTCATGGCGTTTTCAGTGTAAACCATCACCAATGAGGTGACATCATCAGTACGTAGTTGTGCGTAGCGGTGGGTTAGTGTGTGTATATATTCTCTGATTGCAGACTGTTATTTCTATTCACAATAAATCCGTCGCCTACTGAAACAGGTTCATGGCGTTTTCAGTGTAAACAAACACTTTAAGAAGAGAGCTGGGTGAGGGCGAGCAGATGCCGTGGAAACGCCAACTGCAATTGGTTTTTGTCACTCTGAATAGTTTTGTATCTTTTATCCCCATCTGGCTTTGTTTTATATTATTCTCTTGTGCTTGGTGGGAGTCCCCACTCAATTAACTTAGAATGCTCGAACATTCTCTTTTTCTTAAAGACCAAAATATCTTCTAGTTTACGTAGGTTTCATTTTCAAACCAGCCATACTCCCCAACCCAACAACGGTCTAGTGCTCCCTAAATTACGGTGTTCCGATGCAGGGGCTTACTGTAATTTAAACAGGCCAACTATGTTGAACTTCAGTTTAAACCGAAGGCTAAGGAACTAATTGCCTATTATTATTACGTGTGTTAGCTGCGGCAATCGCCGTGGAACGGGAGTACGGCAGTGAAAAAGCTTTTCCTCTTAGATATCACATTGATGACCCAGCCTTTTTTCAACGACTTCATGGTAAATTAGGCAAAATAGACTTTCAGAAATATGTAGTCGTTTTCGGCTGGTTGAATTTGTCTCAATTTCCGAAGTAGACTCATTGTATTACATAGTGTGTTTCGAATTTCTCTCGGCAACTAAGCTAGAGTGGATTTCGGATACCCTTTTAATCACGTAGTTGTCCCGTGCATAAATGGACCAGGGAATTAGCGACCAATAGTATCAGTAAGGTCACGCTTCTATTGTTACATTTGCAGCAAACGGAACAGTACTGGCGAGATATGAGCAATCCACTTGTATTTTTGTTGGCTTCAAGCTACTTAAACTTGGGTCTATCTGACATTAAAAATTGTCCAACGCTGGTTGCTACCTTTCCCCGAGGAAAAGATTGATTCCAAAAGATTCACACTCCGATCGCTGGCACATCTAGTTCAAAAATCTAGAATCCGTCTTTTTTCACAGTACACCTGGTGTGTGCAGGGGCATTAAGAACCAGAGTTTACTGCCTTATATTGGGGCAGTCCCTCACCACCTTCGTCGGACCTTGAAGTCGAAGGCTTGGCATTGGGTGCCCGAAGTAAGCCCTATTTTCAGGCTCGGCAGTCAGCAAGCTCCACGTGATGTTTACTGTAAAAAGAGGGAGAGCGTATCTTGTGCAACTTGGAGCCTGGAACGTGGTTACCAAATGAAGATAGCGTAGATATTACTGAAAAGCGAACCATTCTAAGTCACGCCGCACCAAGTGGTACCCAGCTGGCATTCGAACTTTCAACAAATGGTTCAACATGGGACAAACAACACTTGGACTCAGCCATAAAGTGGACACGGACGCCTAACCTACTGTCATTGTGTGGCGAGATCTCCGTAATGCACTGACCAAAAATTGAAGTATGCAGGTGAGCTCAATACGGACTGTTCCTTGCTGCGCGTTAAAGTGCGCGCCGCACTCTGAAGATTTTCACATGAAACAGGAAACAACTCAATCAAGTTGAATGTAAGAAATCTGTAATGGCCCAGAAGGCCAGTAATGCTCGAAGATTATTTCAGGTTAGCCGTGCGACCGGTCCCCCGGAAACCACCTGTGAGCGAAACCATCAAGGATCGGGAAGGAATGACCATCTCGAATAAAGAAGAACGCCCCGGCCGTTGGGCCGAATACTTCGAACAACAGTTTTTCGTGACCACTAGCTGATACTCATCTGGAGCACACAGTTGACGTACAACCCTAGACAGTGAATGTGGAACCGCCTACGACCTCGGAGGTTCATGACTGCATATGTTCTCTCAAGCCTCTAGTTCAGCTGACCTCCCACCCGCATTGTTCAAAGATTGGGCTGAAGTCCTCAATGAGCGCTTGTCTTATCTGTTTGCTTGCATTTGGGAAAAGGAGTCTGTCCCGAAGAACTTGGTAGAATCGGTGATAGTGCCCGTTTTCAAAAAAAGGGTGCGTAGTGAGTGTGGTAACCACAGGGGGATCAGCTTGACCCCGGTTGTAACGAGACTGTTGGCATCAGTTGTGCTTCGTCGCCTTACGGTGGCCCGTGAGATACTGACTCGAGAAGAGCAAGCGGGATTCCGGCCTGGTAGGGGTTGCCTCGATGAAATCATAAGGCGGACGCTAGAATATCCCCAAAACGCCGATGTTCAGATAGCCTTTGACGAAAACTTTGTCGATCTGGAATATGCAGACGACTTCGTTCTCGTCTTCGAAGAGGAGAAGGCACAGATGTTTTTGGATGAACTGACCATGCCACTTACAATCCAATGGGAAGCACTGGAAGTTGTGGAGCGCTTTACGTATCTTGGGAGTATTGGTTCTGACTGTAGTGTGACAGATGAGGTCAATACACGAATGTGCAAGGCGCGGGCCGCGTTTTCTAATTTGAGACACCTATGGCGTCAGGGTGGTTCATCTTTGAACCTCTTCAGGTGTTCGACAATCGTTGTCTCAGAATCATGGCTCGTGTGGGTTGCTGTTGGCGCATCCGTAATGAGACAGTTGGAAAGCGCGTTTTCGGTTGTGTAACGGGTAATTCCATTGAAAAATGTGTCCAGCACCAGAAGCTGCGTTGGTTGGAACATGGGTTGCATATACCGAATCATTGTTTGCTGAAGAGTGCTGTTTCCCATACCCAACTGAGAGTGATGTAAGCAGAGAGGTGGCCAACCCTTGACTTGGCAGAGGAGTATGAAGGAGATCACGAAAATTTTAGGTGTTCTTGGTGCTACTCGACTTCCAGGGTGAAGACCACGTGATCCCCATTGCTCCTGGTTAGTAACATGTCAGTGGCGTTCTTGTTGTCAGTTTCTATCCAGATTGCCTGAATGAATGTCTGGAGGTGTAGGCACCTCGGAATGATTGTGTTAAGCTAGCACTAAGTCCCTTCCCCGTCCACCTCGATTCTTTTATTCACAATAAGGCCTTCAAATAAATTGCGGTTGTACGACAGCGAAGCATTGTTGTTGAACACCGATGTTATGCTCCCGATGATGATGATAATGAAGCTGTAACACAGGCTGCTGGGTGACCAAGTACCAAACACACCCGAATACGAATACATCGAAACAACTGCTGTGGATACAGTTGGACCAAATCAAAAATGAGGGCAAAGTCAGTTTGATGAAAATGATCAATCGACATCTATCTTGATTAAGGAGGTGAATTTGGTATTCATCCAGACAAACGGAGGCCCGAAAACAACTCTGAAACGCCCGCGGGAAGTGAATGGCTAACTTCCCAAAGCAACTGCGAAGAGCAGCGGAATTAAAGGACTTGTCCGCGCAACTGTTCAGCCCTCGGGGATTTACATTGCAGAACGAACTTCTCAACCTACTATGTAGATTTCGGTAGGTCCAATAAATTTGTGGGCGTAACTATAGGACGGCGAAAAGGCAGAAGAGAGTCCACCGCAAAGTCGATCCTCGGTGTAATATTATGGCTCGTATCCTCCTCAATTCATGGTCGTTGGTATTCTGGGGAAAATTGTCCCTGAGGAGCAGTGTCTATTCTGAAGCGGTCGATCTACTGTTAACGTATTTATCCGCAAGACAATTGAAGAGAAATCTAGTGAACGGAATCAACCGCTTGGGACGTTAAGAAGGTGTCCGAGAACAAGTTAGAAGGGAGTCCGGGTTATCGAGGATAAACATTGTTTTACTTGTCTAAGAACAAGCGTTGATGAGCTGAAATGTACATACAAAGGTTCAATACGTTTACATAGGTTAAGTAAGTTACCAATAGACAGACAATAATCGGTAGGATAAAAACCTGAATGCGGACCCGAAGAACTGCCTCCAACAATTTGTCGTCAAGACTGAACTTAGCAGACTTGTGTACTTATCGTAATCCTCTTTATCCTCTATATGACGGCTTTCTGCGCAGGGATGTTCTGCCGTTGTAAAGGTCGCACACCAGTTCAGTATTGGTTATGTGGTTGTCTGTTCAACTCAAAGCTTTTCCTGCTCAACACACTGCTGCTCATAGAGGAAAATGTTGGTAGCTCAGGTATCGTAGATGGTGGTCCACCACACTGCTGCTCAATTTGAATTTGCCTATTCTATTGCTTTTGGACGATTGCACTCTGAAGAGGAGTTGCAATAGCTAACTGTGGCCCCCCGCTTTGGCTTAAATGTAAATATTTCTGAAACATTTGTCTTTTATTCTTCCTCACCGATGATTCAACGTAAAACGGCATGTATGCTGCTACATGGTTATGAGATGGTCCGCGGCACGGCTTTTTACCATCCTGGCTGAACGTCATTCACAGATCTGACAATTAACGAGATATACGCGTGAATGGCAAAACCCATCACAGCATTTGATCGTCTTGAGGAACGTGTCTGGAGTAATAACAAATTACGCATAAACACCAGGGTTTTCTTCACGGCGTCGAATCGTAGTTGCCAAATAGACGGTATGTTCGGTATCTTGCGCTGTCTGAATTAAATCCCCCGAATCGAATAGAGTGACAAAACTCTTAACATCGAAGTCTTTCGAAAAGCAAGCGCTGTTGCACTTGAATGCAGTCTGACCGATCAGCTAGTCAGGCCACTTGAAAGGTATGAACGGAACTCGGATCCCAAAACAACTTTTCATTGCATTTGTAAATCGAGGACGCCGGAAATTCCGCTAGTAGGACAGACTTCATAAGTTTAAAAACCGTAACTTCCATTTTCAGATTATTGGAAAACCCCGCACTCGACCCAACTCCATGGGAAACAGCTATTTAAGGTGAGAAGCTTCTAGACTCGCGCGCGTTGCACTGGTAGCAACTAAGTGAGCCATCCGTTATGGTGAGAATCTCCCGAAAGAGCTTCGGTTATATGGACTTGTTCGATGTGCGGACTTAAGTGACTCAGCAGGACCAGCTTTGTGGGTCAGCAGTTTTCTAACCTGGTGATAAAACTACCAGCCTCTAATGCCTGTGGGGTCGAAGTGCTCCCTGGGCTGGGCCTCCCAGACATCGAGTACGCAGACGACATAGCTCTTCTAGGATCTGACCCCGTGGCAATGCAAACAATACTAAATAATCTAAATTAAATAGCCTCGCGGTTTGGTATGCGCTTCACACCTGCAAAGTGTAAAGTGCTACTGCAAGACTAGGTGGGTTCGAACACTAGCCTCATGCTTGCGGATGAACCGATTGAGGTAGTAGACAAATTTGT